CATCGGGTTGTTCATATGTATCTCCCTTGGTGATGCTTCACTTCGGTTTGGTTCGGGTGGAGGAAGCTTCGCCGTCTGTGGTGAAGTTGTGCCGCTCCTTGTGGACTTCAAACGGTCATCTGTATCTCGTCTCCTGATCTTTTGATTGGCCGTTCTAGTGTTCATGCTCTCATCTAAGTTTCTTCTATTGAAGAAAAGTTTCAAACCTTAGTTAGGCGTTGGTGCTTCGTTGTGTTTGGTCTGGTCTTGGATTTGTGCAGGTGTGGGTAGTTATTTTCCTCCGTTTTTATCGTTCTGATCAAGCGTAGTATTCTTAGGTTTTTTATTGTGTTTTCTGCTTTGCCGCTTGTGATGCTAGGTATCATATTCTATTACTCGTTTAGGAGCCTGAGGTTCTCTCGTTGATTGTTGGACTGAGTGTGCGTAGTCGATAGTATAGGTTGGTTTGTTTTTCGATTAGCATCCTTATTAACTTTCGGTGGTCCTTTTTCAGTCTCCTCCCTCCGCCTTTAGTGTAGTGAATAATCAGTTTTCATCTGTGGTCTTTCGTGATCGGTTCTTGTAAGGCTAACCTCTTATGAGGATGCAAAGTTCTAGATTTAGATCATTTAGGTTGAAGATTAGGTGGGTTGGAGTTTAGAATCCCGTTCGTGGCTATTCGTTCTTGCTAATTGTTGTATTTGGGTTTTATGCGCGATTTCTCCTTGCCTCGATGACGCCTGGTGAGCATTGTGGTTCCGCGTCCGTTGCTCTTTCCGCGCCCTCCACTATTTGCAAGTGCTTTTTTCAGGCTTCAACTATTACTGATAGTTGTTTTCTCTAGTTAATTGTGTGTTTTTGCTTCCTGGTAATCGTTCGTGCTATTCTTCACGGTAATTTTTTGGGCTTGGTTTCTTGTAAAACTCTCGGATTTTGTAAGTAATTTATCCGGAGTTGTATATTTTTTTATACTTTTGGATGTTTAATATAAAAGGTGATTTTGGTGTATAACCAAAAAAAAAAATTAAGAAGCAAGTAAAAGTGGGGTATGTGGCAAAATCATGATCATTGGATTTGAGATTTTTGGTTATTTTTAAGTTATAATTTTTTATTGTATATACAACAAATTATCCCTAATATAAAAATCTTTCGGTGAAAAAAAAATTTATCTAAATTGTTTATAACTTAAAATAAATATATCTAAATTGTGAAAAAAATATATCTTACCAAAAAGACTTAAAAAATTGGGGCAAATAATTATGATTTTGGGAGTTGACGAGGCCACGAAGAGAAATTTTCCCTTTTTTTTTTGTTTTAATTGAAAACGATTTGTTTTTTTACCTAAACAAAGACTTGATGAGAAAATTATGTGACGCATATAAAAATGGCTTACGAGATGCTTGGAGATTCCTAAAAGGATACCCAATGTTTGCTTCCCATATTTAAGGAATATTCCATTTACATTTATTT